AATAACCAGACTGCTTGATGCCTTCATCAACTTAAATGTTAAATGTTTAGGTCAACCTCTTTATGTAAATTCTGCTTCCGCTGTGACCAATTATGAAAAAATCATTTTGTATCAGTATTGTACATAGGTTGAAACTAGATTATAATGCCCTTGAACCACTTTTATGAGAGTTACTTTACATTATTGTTTCCTGGTTATTATATAACTGTGTGTTAATTGTTGCAGTTAGCGCTTTATTGGATCATGTTTATTGTGGAGTGGGGGTAATAGTGTTAGTTAGCCTGTGACTTACAGTTTTAGTTGGGGAGGGTTCACCTTGGACTGAGAATAGTTGGTGGTACGTGGCGGTAGTAGTGTTAGTTAGCCTCTGACTTACAGTTCTAGTTGTGGAGGGTTCACCTTGGACTGGGAATAGTTGGTGGTACGTGGGGGAAGTAGAGTTAGTTAGCCTGTGACTTACAGGTTTAGTTGGGGAGGGTTCTCCTTGGACTGAGAATAGTTGATGGTATGTGGGGGTAGTAGTGTTAGTTAGCCTGTGACTAACAGTTTTAGTTGGTGAGGGTTCACCATGGACTGAGAATAGTTGGTGGTATGTGGGGGTAGTAGTGTTAGTTAGCCTGTGCCTAACAGTTTTAGTTGGTGAGGGTTCACCTTGGACTGAGAATAGTTGGTGGTATGTGGGGTAGTAGGGTTAGTTAGGCTGTGACTTACAGTTCTAGTTGGGGAGGGGTCATCTTGGACTGAGAATAGTTGGTGGTACGTGGGGGTAGTAGTGTTAGTTAGCCTGTGACTTACAGTTCTAGTTGGGGAGGGTTCATCTTGGACTGAGAATAGTTTGTGGTACTAGGGTGGCCCCGGATAAATTGGTTATTTTTTGCAATACTTTAAATAATTGCTCCTGATGGGTAATTATGCTTGGCTTCTGATTGGTAATATATATATATATTTTATAATTGGCCCTGATTGTTAATTTTCAACAATACTTGTTCCATGGTTGGTAATGTTTTTACATTACTTAGTCCTTATTGGTACTATATATTATACTTTAACTCTGATTGGCAATTTTTGGTGATACTTGGCTGATGATTAGTAATGGTTGGTGATACATTTTGGTAATAGTTGGCTATATTTAATCGGTGCTTGGTAAAAGTTGGCTATATTTAGCCTGGGATTGGTAATAGTTGGCTATATTTAGTCTGTGATTGGTAATAATTGGCTATATTAAGTCTGGGATTGGTAATAGTTGGCTATATTTAGTCTGTGATTGGTAAAAGTTGGCTATATTTAGTCTGTGATTGGTAATAGTTGGCTATATTAAGTCTGTGATTGGTAATAGTTGGCTATATTTAGTCTGTGATTGGTAATAGTTGGCTATATTTAGTCTGTGATTGGTAAAAGTTGGCTATATTTAGTCTG